GAGTGACTGTTGTGAGGGCCTCCCGGTTCAGGTAGGGACGCAACTGGTGCACCAGGCGAACCTGGGCAACTCTGAAGATTGTAGAATTTGTATCTGAATCTATAGGACTTTTGCATTATTGACAGAAATTTATTTTGGCCAGCTGCTTTGGCAATAAAATCAAGTAATGGATTTAAAAAAAAACTTTGAATGGCATTTAAACCGAGAGTGCTTAGACACAGAATACATGTTTAATATTTTGGTCAGAGGGAGTTGAGTAAACCTTGGTGGGGAGGGAGTTTCTAAATTACAATCTAGAAAGGCTATTTAGAAACATCTTGGTCTATCATTTAAAAGAGATGAGGGAAATGTACATTTTGTGAATAATTTTTATAAGAGAAATGTTTTAAACAACTTTAACACACAAAGTTTATATACCAATGATGGTGAACTTTTTTTATTTGGTGTGTGTAAAAAATTCAGAAAATGCCTTACTTAACTCTGTTGGATTGTCTCATGCACACACACACACACACACACACACAAACTAAAGAGAAACAATTCTTAAAAACCACTCCCTCCCACCCTCTAAAGCGCACTGAATAGTGGCACTTCAGTCCCCGCCAATCAAAAGGCTGCCTCATGCCATTTCACAAGAAGTACAAGCTTGGGGAACAGCATGGTTGTTTTATGGCCCAGGACTCCTCCTATCACTTATTTTTAGGCAGTGATCTCTTTTTCATACAGGTAGGCCAGGTAGCAATATACTCGGGTCACACAATGCTTTTGTTTTTGAAACAGCTTTGGATAATGCTTTTATGTGGCCTTTGCAGCCTCTGAAAACCAAGAAACATGCTTGTAAAAGGCCATACCATGTGACACCAGAATCCATTCTTGTGCAGCCTTGTTGAAAGTCATATGAGGGGTGTTTTAACAATAGTTGTTAGGTGTTGATAAATGCCAGTATGTCATCCATCATGGCATGTCATCTTTGACACATATAATAGGCTTACCATCACTGCCAAATACTTTAACTTGATAAGACAATTGGAATTTCTTAAATAACTTGCAAAAAAACCCTTCCAAATCTTGCTGGGTGCAGTCTTTAAGGTACAATTCTGGGAGAGAGGGGGGAACCATAAAAAGACAGACTGCTGCCAGCGGCTGCCTTCTGAGCAGCTCCACTGGGAAGGGAGGGAGAAAAGTTCGGCTTCTCTCTGCCACAGCATTCAATGTGGCTGTTTCTCTCCTTCTTCTCAGGCTCATACATACAGAGCAAACAGGAGAAGAAAGCGAGAAGCAGCCAGGTTGAATGCTAGATTTGGCTGGCCGAACTTTTCTGTCGGTTCTATGGGCATGGCTTGATGGGCATGGCTTGGTGGGTTGCTGTGAGTGATGTCAAGTTGGCCATACCTACTCAGTCACATGACCCCCACTAAGCCATGTCCACCAAGCCACTCCCACAGAACCAGTGGGGGGGGGGGATTGAATTTCACCACTGGTTTTAGAGTGTTTTGTAAAGCCACATTTTAGTCATTGGATGACTGGATGTATTGTGGGAAGCGCGAAAATGGATTAACATGTCCTGGGCTCACGTCATCTTCTTTTGTGACCTTCTGACAAGCAAAGTCAAGGGGAAAGCCAGATTCACTTAACAACCCATTGCTAACTTAACAACTGCAGCAATTCACTTAACAAATAGCAAGAAAAAAATCATAACATGGGGCTAAACTCATTTAACAAAGGTCTCGCTTAGCAACAGAAATTTTGGGCTCAATTGTGGTCGTAAGTCTTCTTTAGTTGCCCAATTACCTACCATTTAGGTAGGAGAAAGGAGTAGCAGTGTATGATCAAAAGGATTATGTTATGTTATGATTTTAACAAAAAAAAATTTAAAGCATACTTTGTGGGCATGAAAATGTCCTGATGCCTTGTGAAATGTGTTTGTGCATGCATGTGTGTATGTTTGTGTATGTATGTTTGTGGAGTTTCTCTGCTGAGGTTTCTTTTCTTTTCTAGCAAGACTTTTTTCCACTCTATGCAGCATGGATGAGTTCAGGCTGCCATTTTTTCCTTTGCAAATGTTTCTTTAGCGAAGTTATCAGAACAACATGGTATGCACCATACCACAAACACATACCCCAGAGGGCCTGGTGAAGGTATAACACCCTCACTTTAGTTATTTTTGTTTTTGGAAGTGTTTTATTTTCTGCTCTTGGGTGATTTACAGATCTGTCGTGCCTGTCCACTCCGTCCCATCTCCCTACTTGCCCAAGGCTGCTGCCATACACCATCAGCCCCTGTGTACTTGCTGACTCCTCTGCTGGCCATGCCCCCAGCTGATGACGATCTTTTCTAGGGATTATTTTTGGGGTAGAGCTTATTTTTTTGAGAAACATGGTATTATATTTTCAATGGATTTAGTTGGTTGGTGTGCTATGGTAACGCCTTGTGTTTCTAATAGTTCATTGCTTTTGTTGGTAGTGCTGTAGAAGGACGAATAATCAGGGACTTTTTGATAAAGTATTTATTATAAAGCATTTATATTAATTTTCTAAAAATATAGGAAATGTCTACTTGCTAAACTAAATATGCTACTACAAGGAGTATCTCTTACACTGTTTTATCTACAGATTTTTGTAACCATAAAAGCAGAAAGAAACAACACGGGGCTTTACTAAATTAAATATTATGCTTCAAATGTAATGTTATCATTTAAATTAAGAACTATAGTAGAATCCATATATTAATAAATAAAAAAATAAGATCAGTTTTGTTAATATGTACTGCAATACACAAATAAATAGTGGGAAATATTATAGGCCTTTCCATCTTCACAATATCATTTAACTATGTCTGTATTTGACTATTACAGCATATTTCAAATGACTGCATAATTATATTGCTGTTAGTATATTCTTTAACAAGTTTATAGTTAGATAGATGAATGCTGATGGCTTTTATAAGTGATGCTGAATCAGTGCCAAAAACCTTACTTTAAATAGCCATACTACATTAAAAAAACACTAAAATTTATATGTAAAAACATACACACAAACTTTTTTAAAACTTAAATATGCTTCTAAAATGCCTGCTTATATTTTAGCATTGAAAACATGATTCAGACATTATAAATCAGTTTACCTCACCCATGTTCTCCAGATGGAGGATAATTCCCAGCCATCCCAACTTTTAGCCATACTGCATGGAATAAGAGAAGTGGTAATCCCAATTTATCAATGGAAAAATCTGTTATATGAAATTAATTGTCCAAAGATAGATATTTTATAATATACAATATGGATCTATTTGAATCTTTATTCAAAAACATGAATGTATTCAGGAAATGTGAAGTTGACATATACTATTGTTCATATAACACTTTATTTTTTTCTAAAGGGTTGTGATTTATATATCATCCCATCATTATAACATTTCCTTTAATTTAAATTTTAAACATATACTGGGTATAAAAAGTCTACATACATATCTGAGCATTTTTATATGGATCATAAGGTCTAATAATATTATATCATTAACTTATTTAATCTATAAACTCTACACACAGAAGCTTCTGCTATTGTTGGGGGGTATCAGCTACAAGTCTTTTCCAAGTGAATCAATCTCATCAAGTAGGAAGTCCATGTCTTCACGGATCACCTGGGGATTAATGATGACCTGGCGGAAGAAATTAACTTTTCCACGATGAGGTTGATAACCCAGCATCATGCTACCCTTTTTCATCATTCTTTCTTTAATGATGGGTGCTACCTGAAATATAGAATTGAAATATAGAATTGAAATATCAGAATAATAGTTATCAAAGAAATAGTAGCATATGGAATAAGAATCACAAATAAAGAAAGAAAATGGGATCTTCACATGCATCTTTAAATACTCTTAGTGCATAATGAGGACCCGGATTGTTGT